ATCGCTTAAAAGTAATAGGCATTTTTAGATAACGTTTAAATTTAATAAACATATAATTTAATTTTGTATTGGGAACTTTGGTTGAAAAAGACACGGTTATAAAAACATATATTTTCGATATTTATTTATCATTTTCGTTTTTCCCATCACGAGACAGTTGAATAAATACATTCGTTTATGTAAACACAGTAATCGTATATTTATTGAAAAAAGGCACGTAGCGGAAATTGAATTTGTAGTCGAAGGTTGACCTTATAGGTTTTGGATGTTAGGGCCTCGAGAACAGAGATTACTTAGATAGTTCTTAATTTAGAGATCATAAGGATGATATTCAGGGCGTAGTAATAGAAATAATCAAAAGAACTAGAGTTAGTGATTAGCTTGGTTCAACAATTATAACTCGGTCAGTACTATCTTTGAAAATTACTTCGATAACAAGAATACCTGCTCAGTATAACGACTTTTCAGATATTAAGAAAACCAAAATATATAAGCAAATAGAGATTAGAAGACCATGAAGCCTATATTCCATTTTATATAGTTCCATAGGAGCACAGATTATGATTATTTGTTTTTCACGTCTCATCGAATGTTAAAGATATATAGATATATAGAATATTAATCTTCTAGTAGGGCAGTTACTGAGGACTGATACGGGATAAAACTATTTAAACAACATTCTACGGCCACCTGCTAATACCCTAGTCACTTCAATAATTTGCATAACATTTTTATATTGTAGGTACCTACTATTTGACATGGTCTTTAAATTTATTTGTGACTTCAGAACCTATATAAATGGTTATTATAATTTTGTTAAGTCTTTAAACATTAAACATTCATAACTTCCAAGACCTGGCAAAACACTTTTCTCGGCACGATAGGGTCGCACCAGTTCTTGTAATGTACCATACATTTGGTGCGTTACAGTTGGTGCGATGCTTGATTGAACCATCAAGATTTTTACGTATTAATTATCTTTCTGCGATTGGTGCTAATAACACATGTAATTTCGATCAAAAACATTCTCAGACGAAACTCCAAAAACAGGCGGCGAACACATATTATATTATTTACAATCATTTTTATACGCGACTGATGTAAAAAAATTAATATCTCTATATCTATCTATTATGAATTTTTGGATAAATTAATGATTATTTACGAGTTATTTTACTCCATAATGCTGTATACGGATTAATCTCAATAACAATTAACTTTTTCACTGTAACAGAGTATTGCGTTACTATAAGGTTTCCTTCAATATGTCCTTAGTACCAGATAAAAAGTAAAATAAAATTCTAAAGTATCACAAATAACATTTCAATACAAATTATGTTAAGATAAATATTTTATCGGACATGCGAATTACTGTTTTTATCAATTCAAAATATTATTCTTGTTCTTAAAGTTATTGACTTATCTCTTCATGATAATACTTGTGTAATTTTTTTTAAATTTTGTACTAGATTTGTGTTGTGCATTGACTTTTCATGGAACACATCTATTAAGTAAGATAGTTTCGAGTGATACTTGCGAGACGCTCACGGTGCTAAGAATTGCATCCTTATCACTATATGCTTTAGTAATAAATATATTTTATCGAACTAAGTCTAGTATCTACTAAGTCCAAATAAAATTAATGTTGAAACTGTATTTAAGTATTATTCAAATCTTAGCTTCAACCTTTCAGTAATATTTATTAATTAGAGTAATAGATTTATTTAATCAATCTTGATGATGCAATATAATTTAACAAAAAACTATACAGAATAAATTCGATTGCAATAAGATAATTTTTCATATCAGTAATCACAAACAAAAACCGCCATTTGTCTAATACGTTTAACTTCTTATATTTATTACCAGCGGTTTATGCCGGCTTCGCGCGGGAAGATCCCTATTTTTTCAAATTATTACAGAAATTAATACAGCCAGATTTGAAATTTTGAAATTCGTGCAATGCCAGTTTATTTATTACAAATATATCAATATTCGTATAGAAAAGAATTTTTAAATTATGTTGCAATGTTATAGTAATAAAATCCCAGAACATCAAGAAATATACATGCGGAGAATAATCCGTACTTGCAAAATACGGAAGCGCCCTACAGATTTACAAGTTGCACGTTGCAATGAATACTCTGCGGGCTAAATTAAACCAAAATAATAATGTCCCTGTCTGAATATTTCAGCGTGTATTCTCGTTGTTTCTTTTATTTTTTAACCCTCTGTTTGTGGTCTCCTGGTGTACCCCTATATTATATTACATAACTTTGTTAAGTGCAACCATTAAATTAGTTTATTGTGTTTAAGTCTATAAATCCAATTTTCTCTATACGATAGGACAGACTCCTGTGATATTTGAAAACGATAACATAGTGATTTTTTGGCTTAGTCCACCCTCAATGGTTGGCTAAAATAAGTGTTATTTGGCTGCAGTAGCTGCCATTTATGGCCAACCGGTATAGTTAGACCCCTGTCTTATTAAAAAAAACATCGTGAGGAAGCTGCCCTGCGATTCTGTAACTCACTTTTCGAACTCACACAGCGGTTTTCGCATCGGCGGTCGCTCTCAAATCAGTCGTGAAGCAGTCATTTTATGATTTGGCATTCTGATAAACAATAAACTACAATTTCCTACCTTTTCAATTGACAATTTTCCTTGGACCCAAATAGACGGCGTGCGTCATTCACACCAGGCTGATGAAAATATCAAGAACCAGTTCTGAAGCCATTTTTAGACAAGACAATTACGTTACCAAGATCAATCTTTAATAGTCTGTAAAACTAATACCGATTTCCAATTATTTCAATAAAGTGCCCATTCCAATAATGATAAGGACTACCTAACATGCATGAAGTTATATTAAAATCCGTAGAGGTGATTGGAATTGCGTGGTTTAAAAACTCAATATTAAAATAATGAAACCTTTTTAAAGCGACTGTTTTTATATTATTTACCTATCAATTTATTCAACTTATACAACAGAAGCGAAACCCAACTGCATTATTTTATAATGTAATATAGCATACGCTACATGTTAGTTTAGCTTTTTGTCGTTAAAACAATTTTGAAAATCAATCCATTGCTTCTTATATTGCTATCTCCATTCGAAGGTTTACGATAATACCACGTTCTCAGCCATAACGATATCCTGGGAAAAATTTTTGTGGTGGTTTTGTGTTGCCTTTCATATCACTGTTTCCTAGTTCTACAAAATATATGACTGACGACTGTACAGGCTTACTAAGCTCCCACTCATTCAGTCACCTACGCAGCTACCCGTAGTTGAAGGAGGATAACATACTACACCCTCTAACACTGCTGGTGTGTGGTCCTCCGATCTGCATGAAGCAGCTATCAACAAAATCTTACGGTTGTTCCACTATCCACTATTTGTGGACCCCGGTAGTAGCTCACACCTAAGTCCTACCTTATTATAAATGCGCAAGATGTTATTTTAAAATTATAAGAGCTTGTTAATGTATCTTGGCAGGTTGATTATTTGATTAACTATAATTATAGGTATGTCAAAAAACGGCGTAACAGCTATGACTTCTTCTTCTTCTTATAGTGCCTCTCCACTACTGGAGGTTAGCGGTCAGCTCGTCATACTTCTTATTATTCTTCACCAAGCGCATCAGCTGTTCTACGCTGGCCATTCCCGTCCATTCTCTGATATTGCGGAGCCACGACTTAGTTCTTCTGCCTGCGCGTCCTTTCCCCTCGACCTTGCCCATCATGATGACTGGTAGAAGTCGGTACCGTTCGTGTCGAAGCACATGTCCCAAGTAGCTATGACTCTATGAGTCATCAAATAATTTTTCCATTCATCATAAATGTAACGAGCAATTTACATGTATCCTACGAACTATGCGTGTCCCGAGAGATGTTGAATTAAACATGAGATTCCAAAACCGATCGGTCAGTTAAGCATTTATAAACTAGCTGCAGATTTGCTTTATAAGCCTTGGTACAAAAATAACATTTTTGGAAGCTTAATTAGAATCTACATAATGTCTGAGACCGTTCAGTAGTAATTCTTTACAATTATGCAAAATTAAGAACATTTAAGATTTTGGCCGATTTAACTTTAAACTTTTTAAAATATTTAACGACGCATTTTTAGTAAAATACAACAAAATGAATATAGTATAAGTTTTTGGTTTTACCTCATTTTAAAAAGGTTGCTTTAGATAATTTTGTGTAACTCAATAAAATACGAGGTTAGTTTAATTAACACTAGAATTAAATATTGTGTATATAATTATACATTATACACGGTAGGATTTATAATCGATTAGTAATTAAAATCCAAAGTTTATACACTGGTATTTCGCATAGTATGCTATGTGTACGTGATATATGATATATCACGCACACATTTATCAAAAGTTTTGGTTTCCTGAGTGTTTTAAGTAAGTAAAGAAATTTTCATCCACAAAAAATAATGCAACAATATAATGAGGTTTATTGATAATTTTATTTTGATTTTTTAAAGTAATCATTTTACAAACTACTTGCTACTTATAGTAGTGCGTATTAGTACATCATATATACACTCACATAAAAAGCTTAGCTAAAACAATTCGTAATATCTCACTATCATAAAATAGAATTGATGAAAAACGATATAAAATTATACGATTATATTTTTTATCATCGGTTCCCATATCTATATTGACGTTGATACTATGACAAAGCGTTTTTAAGTACTTTTACCCGCATACAAACAATAAGTGGCACAGCTGTTAGGGTATTTCACTAATAAATCTTTGGACCTTTTAAACAAAAAAACGTACTTCATTCTTGAACCCCGCCCATGCACTCGTAACCCCTGGTGTCGCAAAAGTCCATGGTACTTTAAACTGAGCTGCCTGCTTATTTCTCCCACGTTCCACAAAGATAATATTCTCCAATAATCTGTCTCGCATACAGATTTTTTAGAAACGTGTGATTATTGTAACTACTGAGATTTTTTAACTTTAGTTTTCACTTAAACATCTTCTGCGTTTCCCTTTTTCTTTTTATAATATTGCAGTAACATATCCGGAAGCCATATAATCAAAAATAATATTAGTAAGGCATTTTGGGCAGATATGCATGCTATATAGTCTTCTGTGTAATCTCTAATCCAACCTAGGAAATATCCTATAGGTGGAGATATAATGCCCAAGCATAACATACCAAGTCCGACGGCAGAGGGTACTTGGTCGACTCTGCAATGCTCAGTTATAGTCAAATTTCTTGCTACTATGACCATGCTCCGTCCGATGCCGTATAATGCGGATAAAACTATTATGGATGTCAAATCTGTTTGATATGCTAATACTGTAAAGAAATAGCTTTTGTAAAGAATCTTATTTAAATTTATTTATATTGTCTATCTATCTCTATCAATATTATCTAGTTTGATGTAAATAATATTATTCATAGTAGTAGTAATAGTAAAAAGACCATCGGCGATTCTTAATATGCAAGTAGGTGATCACCCTTCAGTGCCTAACGCACACCGTTGACTTTTTGGGTCTAAGCATGCCGGTTTCCTCACGATGTTTTCCTTCTCTCTGGTACGTCCAGAGAGTGTTAAATACACACATAAATGATAGTCAATTTGTGGACAGCCGGGTTTGAACCTACGACCTCAGGATGAGAGTCGCACACTGAAGCTAATACGGCTCTATAGGCGAGTAGTAGTTACTAGTAGTTTATTTCTTATTATAAATTCTTATCTTAATTGTTCAATATTGATATTCACTTCAGCTAAAAATATTGAGTACTCAAGGAAAATCTATTGTTTAGTTACATAAAGGCGCCACAAGCGACACGTATTCTATATAAAGAATAACATGAATTTACTTACTTTGCCTGGTTATTATAATCCAAATGCATGTTAAAAACAGCGTCAATCGAGCTGTCAATTTTAATCTAACTTGGACTTGTGGTACAATAAGCCTTCCAAAAATGTCAGCTAATGCCACTGCAGACATACACGTAGCCGTTTCATTTCTGCTCATACCTATATTCTGTAAAAATAAGCAGACGATCATTTTTTCGTTCCCGAAATGTAAGAAAATTAAAATTCAGTAATTTGCTTTTTTATATATTTTATTAATGTTTCGAATAGTTTCTTTGGTAAAATAATCAATAAACACTTACCAGTAAGAAAAATGGGAACAACATGCCGAAATTCTGAATCGAAATATACGTTAATCCGATTCCAATAATAACATTAATAAAACGTGGACTTGATAATAGGGATATGTCAAATAATTCGCAAATCCTTTCTAATGCATTTTTCTTTAGTTCCGGCGTTTTATTTAAGGATCCTGTAAAGTAAAATAATATTAAAAAGGAAGAATTACCTAAAATGGAAATCAAATTACTTTATACAAGTGTGAACCAATTGTGTTTCATAATATATTGATTTCTATTGTGAGATTGTAGACAGGACAACAGAACGGAGTATATTTCGATTAATATTCTAAATAATTGTTGTGCATATAAATAGATTTACTTCTTTTCCTTTTTTTTTATTTTTTCTTTTGTTAATTATTATGAACAGTGTACGAGGAAACAATAAATAAATATGTAAAAATAAAACTAAATATAATAAAATTAGAAATATGTTACCATAACTAAGTAAACTACTTTGGAATTACTTAAAATACATATTTGTTAATAACTGTCCGTTAAAATACCTATAAATAATTGAATTATCAGAAGATGATAATATATATATATATATATATATATATATATATATCTCTATTTACGATATACAAAAGTATTTTCATTCGATATTTATCTACTGTATTTTTCTAATGATCTTTAATCTGACTCAGCAACTGTTCTGTAAAAATTGTCAAGTTTTATTTAAAATCTAAAAAATCAAAATACAAGAACAGAATACAATTCAAAATACTCTAACTAACTCTAACTTAGAAATGTTAGAAAATACCTGTTTTGAAATCATCAGAAAAACCATTTACAGTACTTCTTTTTTTTAACTGCGAGGTTTTACATTCTTTATTATTAGTAAACATTGTTGCTGGTTTATCATCCTCTATATCTGTTTGACATTTATTCATTTCGATTTTTTCTTCTTCAATAAGAACCTCCTCTTCTATTTTTTTCATATGCCACTCAACTGGTTGCATTAACAGTGTTCCACAAACCTAAATTAATAACGAATACACTATATAAAAATGTACTTTTACGGCAAAGAAAAACGTGAGTAAACCGGCACATAAACTACTTATTAAATAAAAACGATCAAAAAAGTAGATATAAAAATCTGAGGTCAAGACAATGCTTTAGTACCATACCTACTAGTAACTTTTTTATAATGCTAAATATGTATAGTAGGGTGGTCCTTATTCCTAAGAAAAAAATTTTTTTTCTTTAATTTCGCGGGGCACCACGTAGTTTGGTTATATACCATAAAAAAGTGTTTCAGTATTTATTTTGAAATTTTTAAATGATATTTAGAGGTCGCTACCAAGGTTTGAATTTTTAATAAAAAATGAAAATCTGTATTTGTTAGAATTATTTATTTTTATACCCAGGTCTCAAAAATATTACGAAATTATTGTTATTTTTATTAATTAAGATATTATATAGATATGTGATTTGTTTATTTTTAAGATACAAGGATTGAATTGTTAGTATTAGGGTACTTTTTCCTATACTCTTTTACCATCAAAAGCAAATATTTTTTGTGGTAATTAATTTATTATATTCTTCCATTCCTCTCAGCTATGTATACTCGCAATGAATGAACGATATTTTTGGCAGCTATATAATCAGCGTCTTCGTTCCAGGTTTCGACGTCTTTTAAAAAAAACATGATGAGGGATCTCGGGTCTGGAAGAATCTTAAGGAATGACTACTCACGAAGTTTTCTATTTTTTTGTCGATATGTGCGATGTCAAGGTTTATTAGTTTTAAGCTATCTTCGGTGCCTTAACTTTTGAGTACTTCTACGACTTTTTTCTTCTCTTGAACTGAAACTTCGTCATCGAAAAACGCAAGCGAAACTAGGTATTCTGACAAATTACAAATGATTTAAAATCTTTTTCAGCGCAACAGTAGCTATATTTTTGTTGAAGCTTTCAAAAGCTTTATGGTCTGTTAATAATTGTAAGTTGTTTCTTGGTACTGACTAACTCGAAGACTGCTAGATCAATATTTGACATAAATCATCACCGTGAAAATACATATTTCTCTCACAGCCTTTTCGTCCTTCTTCGTTAGCTTAAACTGATGCTTAAATAAATAAATTTTTAAACTGTACAAGGCTCTTGCCCTCCACCTAGCTCGATGAAGACCAGCAGGTCTCCGAAATGAAACGCTCTTGTCAGGAACACCTCCTAAGGAAATGATAATAAGAATCAACAGTTCTCTGTAGTCATCTCGAGGTTGATGTACTTGAAGTTGCTTTTATGCAAACGAAATCCTGTCTGCGGCCACTTCTGCAAGAGTATTTGCCTCAGCGTCATCAGCTGTTTTTGATTTGAAGTCACTTTGGTCAATAGTGTTCCAATTGTTCTTAGATCTTTTGAATAATTGTACATCAGGAGCACTAGATTGGGCAAGCGATTGATCCACTACAGCTGACAACATAATTTCCATTATGTGGTGACGACAAGCAAGCCAAAGCTTATTTTTATTCATTTTGTGCTCCAGAAGGACGAATACTCCACTCCTTAAGCCGATATTTACAGCAGTAGTGTCAAAACATTGTCAAACATTTAACTTTATAGCTCAAATTCCATGACTTTATTGCTTCGTAGACAGCTGACGCACAAGCTTCGCTTTTTCCACGTTCCAATTTTGTAACAGCGAGTAGTTGATAAACTCCATATCCTGATGTCAAAATTGGCAGCGGATCTTTAGTTTTGTGTCCAGTAATATCTTCTATAAGTTTACCGTCCCAATGGATTGTTAATGACGAATTAGGTTTAAACTCGCTTTTGAGCGACTCTGCAACAGTTTTGCTATTTTTGACCCATTACCGACGCATAGTAGATCTATTGACATTAAATTCTGATGGACCACAGCCAGCACTTTTCAAAGTAGATGTCACGTCACGACCATAGTTGCTTGTCTGTCACTCAATTTAGAGACATCAAGACTGGTATCTAATTGACTGTTAATAATGTAAAAAAATATTTTGTTTGTAAAAATTTTGACAGCTGGTAGCGACCTCTGAATGTTGTTTTTTTGGGGAAAGGGATACTCTTCTTTAATAAAATCCCAGAGGCTCTTTTATCACTGCCTTTCAATAAATTTAAGAAATGTATTAAAGAAAAGCTGTGTAAAAAGGCTTACTATAAAGTCAACGATTATCTAGTTGATAAAAGGGCCTGGGACTAGTGCTAAACAGGCTACTTCTAATCAATTTGCGATATTTGTTTTAAATAAGTGTTGTTTGATGATTTGCTGTTTTAAAAGAGTACCGAGAGTTTTTTACGCCGGCTTTTTCTCTCGGCCTACACCCTCTGTCTTCTTTGCCGATGAGTAGGGATGCCTTCAAATTTAATGACGTGGAATAAGTGATACATGTATCTTATGTTCCATAATAAACATATTTTATTTTTATTTATTTTTAACAAAAACAAAAAAACACGTATTTCATATTTAGAGGTATATAATCAAATGAGAAAGTGCCCCGAGGATAATTCAAAAGTCGAAAAATAAGGACCACCCTAATGTATATATTTGTTTCTCTCTTTATATTTCAGTTTACACAACACTAGCTTGTCCTATCACTTGATTGTAATTTGTTGCTGATTCTTTAAAGCTATAAATAATAATTAAACTTATTGATTCTATTTCTCACCTAGATATGCAAAATTGAAATGATTATAATAGTAATGTGTAAACTTTCTAGCTCTAAATCTCCGAAAAATACTTTCTCTATAATGTGTTGGGTTTCGCAAGTACTACATTTAAACAAAACTTTTTCGCTGACTACGATTGGAAAAAGCCTTCGGAACGAAGTCATAACAAGTCTGTCGAAGTCAGAACACAGATAATAAATGCGAATCTGTTTAGGATGTTTTAATAAATACCTACTCCATGTAAACACAGTGCTGACAGAAGCCAACATGCACCGGTAAAGCCAAATTTATCCAAGGAATATTGCACCACGTGTGGCATTATAGCTTGTCCAATCCCAGTGCCTGTCATTGCGATGCCCACTGCAATACTCTTTTTCAATTTGAAGTAACTGTTAATGGCTACGAACGATGCATTTTGTATGAATCCTAATCCTACGCCTGAAATTTTTGGAACAATTTAGGAGTTTGACGCTTTAGATGAATTTTGATGGACTTACACAATTTAGGTAACGTAACTAATTCCCAAAAGCACGAAATTATGTGACTTAATTTAAGGTAAATTCCCAAAGCCCACTATTTGACCAACACCTTCCACCTATATTCACAGTCATTTATTTGACATTAAATATAAAATCCGCTTAAATGTTTGCACCTACAATGTGAGATCGATTCCTAGAATTAACCAATGCACCAGAATCTACAAACTGTTACTCAGAAAAAAAATTGAATGGAGACCTTAAAAAAGCACACACAACAAGAGCTATCAATAATCAACACCTACTTCAAAGAAAGACACAGCAGAATGTGGACCTGGATATCCCCCCAATAAAAATGTCAAGAAGGTAATTGAATATATCATAAAAGCAGTTAAGATTAATGAATGGATATAGAATTCATTCAAAATTATGAAGTACGATATCAAAGTTTCAACAGATAATACTAGTAAGAGCAACACTTCTTTTATCAACCAACAAAGAATAGAAAACACTTAAAAAGCTCTTCAAAACTCCTTAACACAGATGAAAAAATAATACAATACACATATTATTATTATAGTCTTAAACTGCATATTAAAGGTGTACCAAAGGTATCTCAAGTGTTCAAACCTACTATAATACGCTAGAAGAAGCCGAAACGCAAAGCTTAAGGAATAAAATTAACCCTGGAATGAAAAATTAACATAATATAAATATTTAGTGAAGACCCAATGTCAACAACAGTGTTCAAGGGAAAAGACAATGATAAAAAAATGTAATAGATACAAACATACTTCCTTTAATGTTATATGGTTATCAAACTTCACAGCAAATGTTCAGTTAAAGATTAGATCATCACAAACAGCTGTCGAAAGACGTATTGTAAATATAAACACAAAGTCAAAAGCGAATATATTAGACAAATAACTAAAGCAACACAAGCTTTAAAATAAAAATGGCAATGGGCTGGCCATGTAACAGATAATGGAAGGGACCATCCGGGAAAAGAAGTATGACTTCATGGAAGTAGCAGGAAAAGACCGGCTGACTATTGGCAAAGATAGAGACAACTGAAAAGGGTTGCAGGAGGCCTTTATTCAAGAGGTGGGTTCACATCCACAGGTGACTAACATATTACTACTAACATTTAGCTATAATTAAATACTAACAACACTACTCACACAATTTGAAATGGAAATTAAGAATATAGAAGTAAAAAAGGCTTTAATATTATTATTATTTTAAGGTATTTTGTAAATGGAGTTTTATTGTTAATTTAACCAAATTTCCATCAAGTAAATTTGTGCCTTTATTATTTATACTCATAAATTTGGGTTAAGGATATTTAAAGCACAATTAACTTACCAAAAACAACTCCGTAACTTAAACTCAGGTGGACTATGTTTGTTGAAAATGAACTCAAAAATATCCCCGAAGCACATATAACTGATCCGGTGACACAAACGAATCTTGGTGATTTTAGTTTGACCAAAACCCCAACAAACGGTCCACCGAAATTTATTACGCAAAGCATTACACTCAGAACCATCGCTGCTCCTGTAGTTCGATGTCCCATTTCTTGTAATTTGTCACCATATAATAAACTAAATTGTGAGAACATTGCCTGGTTGAAGATCTATAAAAATAAATTTCTAAAATTAAAAAAAAAAAGGGTGCGTGTACTTATATGTAAGAAGTTATACTTCTTTGGCATTATTAAAAATAGTTTTTGATTGCATGCAAATAATTAATTACAATTAAATAATCAAAGACTGGAAAAGGAGTCATTATAGTCAATAAAGTTCAGTTTACATTTGAAAAATTAAATAAATAAATATTTATTATTATTCTCTTACATTAAGTGTAACATAAAATCTATTATTATTCGAATGTTGTTTTAAACTTATGTCCGATGCCGTAGCATCTTCCGTGGGCAACTTCATTCTGTTAATTTTGTGTCACGGTGTGCGCGCATCGTAAAATTTCACTCTCATCAATTTTTCATAACGCGCCTAAAGAAGTATAACTTCAAAAATATTTATTTTATTGGTAGGCATAACAATACAAATAATAAAGAACATAAAAAGAATAAAAGTATGCTGTAAATATCATAAAAACTGAATAAAATATTATACTAAATTATGCTATCAACAACTTTAAGTTCGTCTTACATAAACTTAACTTAATAAACATTACATAATCTTATATTTACAATATGTGAACTATTTCGTTAACTTACATTAGTAACAGCACTGCCAAGTAATACCATCCATCCCCAGCCTCCATCGGGTGGTACCAGTTTTATTACTGTCTTCGTTTTAGACATTTTCACTTATATTTTGGATCTAAAATATTTCACAACTTAAAATCTAGTAAATCATTTTTTAATTAATGTTACGTGCAAGAAATGACGTAATGTGTAGTGTTTAGTAAGTTTTTGCTGTAGTATCTTATAATATAATAATAAAAATCTTACCCTAATAACCACACAATTCACATTTGATACACCATATCACAGACGTTATATAATATTTTCGACACTCTATTCAAACATCCATACGACACGAATATGTGACAATCAATGAAATGATTTCGTTTTAAAACCTTTAGAATTAATTAAGTGCTATCTAAATGCCAATGTTTAAAGATATGTATCAAATGTAACCCTACAACTGCATTTACTTTACTTTAAAGTTTTGGGCAAATTTAGATTACCTTTTGATAGTCTCTCTATCAACTTTCTTTTCATGAGGACTTTTAAATGGTACTTTTGTCGAGTCAAATTTATTTTAATCACTTTACAACCTCATCATCACCATTGCACTTAAACAAGCTGCGAAAGATCGTGGCGATTTAAATTTAAATTTACTTAACTTACAATTGAGAACATGCGTTCAAAATGTTGTGTTATTGTTAGATGTTGTTTCATAATAATAACTAACTTTCATTAAAACACTTCAACTGTCTTGGATTATTTAGGCAACACAGTGTTTACTGGTTAAAAAATCGTACTAATTATAATCTCTATGTACGGATAAATATCTGTTTTGATAAAAAGCTAAGTTCCTGATCAAAGGTCAGGTGGCAAAACCAAAATATTATTTAACGGCGCCAGTTTTCAAGATATACTTGTAGATTTTTTCTAAAGCCCATTTTTACGTATAATTCGTGTCGTAAATATACTAAATTATGATTATTATTTTATCGGAGTGACCATAAAAATATTGAGTAATAATAGTAATTTGCCATATGTTTCGCATAAAAATGAAGAAAATCTGATTTTCTATGAATACTAGATTATTTATAGAAAAGGCGATTCTTTTTCTTATTTATTAAAATGAATATATCAATCAGTGGTGCATTATAGCGTAACAAATGAAAAAACTTACTTCCGTTTATAACCGATTTCGATGTGTCAGTAATAGAGTTGCCACGAATAGTGATTTAGCCGAATACCGAATGTTCTGCAAAGCTACCGGCCGAAGCGCCGAATATTCGGCCGCCGAACATTCGGCACTAAGTACATGCTTGTCGAACGCAAAATCGTGTCGCGACCTGTTTGTTTCTATTGCGAGTAGGCACGTCAGGGCACGCTTTGTCAACCATCACCTACGATTTTGTAGAAAAGTTCATTAGTTCCTTTTCAATTGTTTGGGTGTTAAAAAATTTCACCAGTTAATAAGAAATCGGCGATATGGCAATATTATGAAATTGATAGCTTGTTTTATCCATCACAACTTACCGCTGATTAATTTTACTAATTAAAATATTGTACTTTGGTAATAAATACAAATCTTGAGTAATATGATGTGTATTTTTTGTCCACGATTTGGTATTCGGCAAAAAAAAGTGGCTGAATAGGCCGAATACAGAATAGTAGCCGAATATTCGTGGCATCTCTAGTCAGTAAGTAATAGAATTTTTAAAATATGTATATTCACTTTATATTTTTTTAATACTAGGAAAAATCTATGATTGAGTTTTTGGGCTATTTATCTCTGAGCAGTGTGATTTTATACTTATAAAGGATTCGTTAAAATTTCAAAAGTATAATAAATAATAATAAATTCTACAAAGAGACAGAGAAAGAAAAGATCATTAATAATAATATTCTTATTTGATACGTGCTATTTAATTTGTTTGAAATTAAATATCAAAATTGCTACAGAGCTATAATGGTGAACAGTATTGTCAACATAATAAAATATACTATTCCTACGACCACACAAACACATAATATCACGGTGGTTCTATTTCCAGACTCTATTGACTAAACGAATTGATTGATTTATATATTATCAAAACGTTTACTTCATGTAAAATGTAAAAATATTATCGTACAATTTTTTATAAATGACATCTAAAAAGAAAATTATATTAACAAAGATTTCAAAGGCACCATTAGAGTCCATCTTTGTAAGACCCGTTCTATGACTAATTGGTGGTCGTTATCGAGAGCTGACACTGTAGTTATTTAAATTGTTGTTTAAAGTTTCATAAACATAATTGTTTTGCTAACATTGTTATGACCAATTATAAATTTATGTTACTGAAATAGAACTAATCGCCAAGTCATTTTGCTCGCTATGTTCATATTTTAAGAATATTATCTTCTTCGTTTGGAAATTGTCTAAATTGTTTTGATAATTTATTTAGATTTATTAATACCTTAATATATAAATTACTTCTGTTTTATTTTAACAAATTTAAGGGAATAGTTTTTGTGAAATTGAATGTGTCCCCGTTTCTTACAGTGTAACAAATTATAGGATAATTTATTGAAATATTATAGTGCGAATAGGTTTAGTATAAATAAAACTTTATAAGTAACAATTAACAATAATTTATTAGACTAGGTGTCTAGAGGTATATGGAATACTTAAATTATAGTCTCTCTTCGCATAAAACATTGTCAGTCTCCATAAATGCTCACTGGTTCACGTAGGACAAAATATCACAGCCACCGTGTTCTATGGAATTATCTCTATCAGATTATGCAAAATCATAGCTATAATAATATCACAAGTTCATGTGTCTTAGTCTTTACGTCATTTCGGTCTCGTCTACTTTCTCTTTCTTCTTCTGGTAGTACTGATGCAACATATCAGGTATCCACATTATTAAGAATAGTATCAAAATTGCGTTTTGCGCACTGATACAGGCGATATAATCTTCTGTAAAGTCTCGAACCCATCCTAGGAAATATCCAATTGGTGGCGTGAGCAATCCCATACTTAACATCCCAAGACCTACTGCTGAAGCAACTTGTTCCACCTGGCATTGTTCGGAAATTGTTATATTCCTGGCCACAATAACCATACTCCGTCCGATACCATACATTGAGGATAATACCAGTATAACATATATATCCGTTTGGTACGCCAGGACTGGAAAAAAATAATCGAATAATGATTAGATTGCGTAATCGCCAATGTGGCACCAGTTATCATTGAAATCTTATCTAGTTTAAAAAGGGAATTATAAATAGTTTTTATGAGCGAATGTTAATTGCGGTAATAGTCATAGATATAGCCAATAAAATAGGCGAAGGCTTTCTTTATAATTTAATATTTTATTTTTGTTTTTCATGGGCTTAGTTTAAAAAGATTCGTTATTTTTATCGACAAAAAAACAATTGTATAGCTACACATACACGGATGTACTAATTGCATCTTGTATTATTTATTTACTAACTATATTGTATGACACTATTGAGTCATTATTTTGATATACAACGTGATATGTCTGCATTATTAACTTTTATCTTAATGATGAATGCATTTACGATTATTGTTTTCATTTTGCGTAACTAGTTTTATATCTTTAAAGTAAAATACAAAAAAACGCCGCACTTGTCCGCCCATATCGTAAAATATCATTCAATTGCAGTATAAAGATTTTCAAATGTGTAGATCCTACTCGCTGTCAACCAAAGGCAATATCATTTTACTCGATCATACAACTTGGCATGCCTCGTGCTTAATATCATGATATGATCAGGTGTTTGGGTTTAAGCGCATTAAAGATATCGTTTGGCCTTTCCTTGAAATTACATTGTCATAAAATCGATCTTTATCTTAACATTACCGTCATTTAAAAAGATAGATATTGTTTTAGATAACCGATTACTTATACTTTTTTAGTTATTTATTGCGATTTTAATAAAATTTGTAGAACAACTCTATAGACTCTTTATTCCTTGAATCAGACAGCCATAGTTTCACTTTGAATCAAACCCAGGATTATTGTGCGTACATAATAACTTCATAAAGTTACTATGTCGCAGTGGCACCACTACAATACAATAATGTGTGAGCTGCAGAGAGAGAGAGAGAGAGGTAGAGCTTGAAATTGTACGTGTAATTTACTTACTCTGTCTCACAATAAATACCCAAATACAGGTTATAATCAATGTCATTCGAGCTGAAATGTTAAATTTAGCCTGAAGCTGCGGTATAGAAAGTCTTCCAATAATATCTGCAAACGCCACGGCCGACATACAATTGGCAGTTTCTTGTTTATTCATACCTGCTGCATTCTGTAATATAGGTAAATACAGTGAGGTGAGATGTAAAACAAAAGACGATGGCATGTTTCATTTGTTTGTAATTCGTTAATAGTAATTCCAGTCCAATCACAGATACGCAATATTCAGTATCATTTAGACCAATCAGAATCCAATAAAGCACGCCATCGATTCCTCTATTGTTTTATTTATCATAAAACTTTAAACCAAGCCGAAATAGAACCGTGAAAAGTACTTTAAACATTACCTATAAATATATTTTACACATCCATTACAGTTATTTAATAAACATTTAAGTTAATTATAGATCTGGCAAACTAAATGTCTTTCATTACATTGAAGCCGTCATAAAATAAACGGACATTTCTTAGTAATTTTATCGTTCTTCAAATATAATTAAACAGCTAACCCATACTACGAACATCTTTTCTTCAAAGATTTCGAATGTAGCTGCTTTTAATTGTTGAATATACTATACGACATTTACAATATGTACTGTAAGTGACTCTTTATAACATGACTTAATGAAAGATTAGATATTAAAAGATTGTAGAGTTTTTTTAAGTGAAAATTCCAAAGTAGCGTTCATAACGCTTCTAAATTAGCTCATTGGGCTTGGCTTTCAAACTAAAAATATGAGACTTTCAATATATGAGAGTAAAAACATACCTGTAAAAATAATGGATACAACATGCTGAAGTTTTGCAATGAAATAGATGTTAAAGCTGTTCCAATAATAACGTTCAAGAAACGTGGATTTTTCAAAAGAGATATATCAAATAATTCATATAATTTTCTTAAACCGCTTTTCGTGTTCTGTGAGCTTTTACTGGTTCCTGTAATTTAATATTACGTCAAAGATTATTTCGATTTCAACTTTAAAAATAAGAAACTGATTCTAATATACACGTTTGAAAAAAGGTGGTCGGCGGTCTCTACTCAAAACACACATACGAATAACGACATAACGATAAGAGAATAGAAACAAATGACAAATCGTCGGCGCAACTTTTTTGTCATAGCATCTCTAATCCTGTGACAGACTCTGTTGTTGCGTTTGACGAAAAACAATCAATGTTAGAGCGCCATCGCGTCGTTTCGTGATTCGGTTAAATTGGAGGCACGATGGAATTTCAGGCCCGTTACCAAAAACACAAATAAAAAAGCTGGCTAATTAAGATAACATTAAAGTTACTTACCATTAAGATGGCCATTTGATGGCCTATCTCCTAATGATTTTAAATCCTTATGACTATGAAAATCAGGAACTAGCTTCTGTTTACCGTCATCATTCAAAATCGGCGAAGTAGCGCGTCGCGCTGTATTATTTAATTCGTCGTTTTTCTTACTTTCCTCCAATAAATTAACCTTTTCATCAACCACTACTTCCTCTTCAATCTTTTTCATATGCCATTCCACCGGTTGAATTAGTAACGTACCACAAATCTATAAATAATATATACTATTAATTACACGGTCAACGCTTGAATACGCTTGACCAGTTTTTGATTGTCTAACAGAACGTCATCATGTCTCGTTATGTATGTGATAACAATCTAACACTTTATCAGGAGCCAGTGAAACATGCTATGATAATCACCCCATGTAAACTCATCGCCGAGAGCAGCAAACATGCACCTCTAAATCCGTAGCTATCCAATAGATATCGGACTACATGAGGCATCAGAGTCTGACCAATCCCCGTTCCAGTCATTGCGATGCCAACTGCAATACTCTTTTTCAATTTAAAGTAACTATTTATGGCTACGAAGGACGCATTTTGTATAAAACCCAATCCAGCGCCTATAAAATAAATATTATGTTAATCAATCTGGAACTTATACTCGTATGTTACTTTGATCTTGATGTTAATCTCAATAAGCTTAGGCATTGTATACATATTGCTATATTAAACAAGTATAAATCAATCATTAATATCCAGGTAACTAAGTTAAAAATTTCTGAAGTATATCAGGTCTTGTTTTTAAGTTTTTTTTGCTTCTAAACCAAAACAACATTTATATGAGATGGTTTCAATATAAAGGTACAAACACTTACCCAAAAGTATCCCATAAGTGATAACAAGGTGAATAATATTAGTAGAAAATCCACTTAAGAAAATTCCAACAGTGCAAATGATAGACCCAGTAACGCATACAAATCTGGGTGAAGTTAGCTTAACTAGGACTCCGGCGAATGGTCCACTACAGTTACTTACACATAACATAGTATTCATTACTATAGCAGCCCCAGCTGTCCTATGTCCCATTGCCTCTAATGCATCCCCATACAATAAACTGAATAGGGACAGCATAGACTGGTTGAAAATCTAAAATTGATAAATAATATATATTTTTTTTGAATATCACATTTGGTTCTGCACTTCTTGCACTCATCATTATTATTTTTTTAGTTTTTCTCTTACTAGGGTTGCCTGGAAGAGATCACTTATTAGCGATAAGGCCGCCCGTTGCATACCTTGTGATTTGTGTTATTTGTGTTTCTTTTATTTTTATTGCAACGAAGAGTGAAAATAAATAATTTGACTAGTAAAAATTAAGAACAATGACGCATTTTCAATAAATTGCAGAGAAAACTGAAATTTTGTCAAGTTTATTTTTAAAGCACACACAAAATATAGTTAGGTAAAGGACGAAGCCATATTATGACAGGGAATGCTTGTAGACTCGTGACACAAAGATAATTCGTGTCCAAGTTCCGTAAAATAAAAGCAGCCCAAGAGGGAATTAAAATTTATAAGGCAATCAATGATATATTAAAAAATACTTACATTTGAAAGACCAGTACCAAGTAATATCATCCAGCCCCAGCCTCCATCAGGTGGCACAAATTTTACTCTCTTCTCAGTTTTTGTTAAGGAAGCTAGGGAATTTTTCATTTTCATTACTTTTCTAAATAATCATTAATTATATTCTTGGTATTCTGAAACAATAATTTTAACTTAGGCCTGTATTCCAATTCCTATGACAAGTGACAAAATGGTAAATGTTTAGAACTTCATATAATGGTTTTACTACTTTGCTTCCGATATCTGATTCAAATTTCATCGTCGTTCCGTTTGATACGGGGGATTTTTATATAAAGGGTAGTTTTAAGTATTACTTAAAAATAACATAACCACAACATAAGTACCTACTATATAACATATTAATACTAATGTATAATAAGACATATAACTATTAAATAAATACCATAGAATAATATATATGTAAACTTTACAATGTAAGAATAGACGTAATCTTAAAAACTAGAATGTTAGACGTTTCACTGAGTATATCATAACAATATAATGTTATACATAATCCAATTATCTTATTAATAAAATGGGTAAGCTCAGTAGGTCATAGTGCATATTGGGCCTGCTTTGTAGCTCATTTCTTTGTTTTGTACTTCCAAGCCGAAACAATTTATTTAGCCGGAAATAGAACTCAGGATTACCAATTCATAATCCTCGTTCTGTATTTTTAAATTAGACTTTCTCAGTTGAGGACAACAACATTGTGCTAAATATAATATATTTGTGTTGTGTATTTGGACATGGAATGTTATTTAAAACTAAATGTACGCAGAAACACAAAAATATGCCATATGAGATTTAAAAGCAAAAAAATACAACCAAAGAAATAATCGTTCTTCATATACAATGATACACGTCAATTGAGTCATCACGTTTTCAATTAAAAAAATCACGTGGAATTCATCACGAATATTTACGTAGTCTGTAGAAAAATGAGTTATATTTACTTTAAACTTAATTACAAACAGTCAAAATATAATGATTGCAAATATGGAAGGAGAATAATGATTAGAGTGAATAAATATGAGGTCGCTGTTCTCATCAAATTGATTTTTTAGTTATGGAGGTCATCCCATCACCCAATAATCACGTATGCACTGTAAACAACTAAAGATTATTTATATACATATTATTTTTTTTCCATTTACTCGTAAATCATAGTTATTTTAGCATTGACATGATATTATAAACAAGAGTTATTGTTATAATAATATCCTGTTAACAATGTCCATCTATCAAAAATGACTGATGTTTATTGGAAATTGTAGTTCAATTCCATTGAATGTATTTTTCTTACACGAGTATACTAATCGTAGTACTGTACCACATAATAAAATTAGGGAGATTAAACGAAAAATTATAATTTAATTTGATTGTTAGTTGTATTTGGGGAGTAACTTTGGAAACCGAAATGGCAGGGCACCTCGATATAATTTCGTCAAGAAAAAGACATGCCAATAATTTTTTTCTGTTGCCAACTTAGACTTCTCCAATGCACACAACTGATACAACATACAACTCTATAATGTTAAATAAAAGATTTAGAAATTGTATTAAGAGCTCCAAAACCTATCCGTGGCAGATATTGGGTCTGACCACAATCCAACAGTTATTCGCCTTCATTGTAAACCAGAAAGAGGTGGTGTTTTCGTAGCATGATTCGTATAAGCTGGATCCAAAAGTTCTCTACCGAGAAAGTTCTTATTTGACTTGGAATGACGTAAAAAACTGTTGAGAACATCAAACAACGGAATGTTGCATACCTGGGCAACGTGTTGCGCCATGACCGCTACCACCTTATTTAACTAATTATAATGGGTAAAATCCCGGGTAAACGGCGTGTTGCTAGAAGATTCATGGCTTCGTAACGTTAGGGAGTGGACGGGTATTGCGACTGTGGAAGAGTTGCTGTATCTGGCACAGGACAAGACACGCTTCACGAAACTGACGGCCCTCCTAGAGAATAGAGAAGCTCCAAAAATTAATAAGTAACTTGTGCAACTGTATATCTTTCACAGTCAAGCGATAGTTAAATTATAAATTTAAAAGGCAAATTTCAAATTAATTACGCCCATATTATATGTTGTATGGTGTACTATTACTAGTGTATGTTTTATTTTTATATGCTCCTAACCGTTTTTATAATTTTGAAGTGGTAAGATTATCACTTATCTTGAATATGTTCGTATATCCAGCTTATCAACCCATATCAATCCATTATAAAAAATACTAAGTAAATTGGTTGTCAAATATTGATTTGTCACGTTTATTTATTTGCAAAGATACACAACTATTCAATTAGCGTTTGAATAACACTGTTAAAATTAAAGAATAAACGAATGCCTTATATTTATTTTCAATTGCACGCATTGAATGTATTATATGGGACAGTTTAAATTATTTAAAAAAGACATCCAGTATTTCAAACGCGCTAATTATTACTCCTTTTTTATTAATTAATAAGAAAGAAAGATTAAATGAATATCTACTGAGGCGATAAGTTCAGCTACTGCTCAACCGGGAAACAAGATGATGCAACGCGGACCATACTTGTATGACATATCTTATTTGTTACATTTTAGGAACATTAGAGATAATTTTTATTGTTACATGCGTCACAAAAGTTTATCATAAGTTTTTATGACATTTGAGTTGATATTTTTTCTTTTGAGTACAACCAACTTCGTGTTTTAAGGATAATAAGAGAAAAACCAGAATAAGAAAATACAGATAAGTAAAGTACGCAATATTGCAAACAGTCGAATAATATAGACATATAATAATAAAAAAAATGATGACAGTAATTAACTTTGTTGTTACCAAAAATCTATTCATAATTTCAGATACAACATCGAAATAATGAAGAAATTTGGTTAAGATTTAAATGCATGGACAGATAAATTTATCTACCTAAGTCGAAGAAGTAAGATTTTTGCAAATCTTGTGTAGCCTGCACTTCTACGTGAAATGAAGTGAAAATGTTTATTTGAAAATGAAATGGAATGAAAATGCTTATTGCCATATTTTAATGCCAAAAATACATTTATTTACTATCCGATAACATGTCCTTGAACTTACTTTGCCCCAATGCAATATATTGTGTCCAAAGGTAAATTTAGATCAACCGTAATCCTTAACAAATTCAATATCATAAACACTCGTAAAGTAAAAATCAGTCACATTGTTTTTTTTATAAATGAATTCGAATTAAGTCGTATATTTGTCGTAAACAAAACATATTTAATCTAAATAGGAACTGGTGAACTGGAGTTTGTATGTCTGTTCAGGCTTTATATCAAATCGTCATCAAAATTTTAAGTTTACAGTTAAGAAAGATAGATTAATTCTAGAGAAGATTTTAACTGCAAAATGCAAATAGGTCAGTCATATTTTTGCCTCTTGTGTCCTTTAAACATTTATATATTAGATTATAAGTTTAGTTTTTACACGCTTAGTTAACAATAGATTATCATAATTTGATTAAGCCTTGATTTATATCGATAAAGATAACAATCAAGGCTAAACCAGTGACCCGATTTGTACTGTATTGTTCTTTTCATGATCAGAGTAAAGTAATTTTTGTAATTTTTTTATCTCATATAATATATATTTATAAGATAGTATCTAGGAGTTTTAGGTAATGCGCATTATAATGACTAATTTCAGACCGACGAGATTAATAAGAGACCCTTGATTGTTTAGGAAAAATCAATTAATTAATATCTACTACTAAATATACGTGAGATTTTGGTACAACAGGTACAACATGTTTTGAGTTAAATGATATTGAAATCTGATCATCGGTGACAAGAAAGAGTAAATATTTAATGACTGCCAAGATTGCGTTGTCCCTCAAACGGTCATACCGACACACTTACTTACATATATTTTTGTTGTTTTATTTGATTTTACATAATATAACAGAGACTACATGTAGGGAAATAATATACACAATCCGGTGTCGTAACAAAACCATTCACGGAAGTCGATAAATAAATGAAATCGATGAACACGATAAATAAAACATGATTAATAAACATCTTACCAACTTTTAATAAAATAAAATTTTCACCTTACACGTACACTAATACACTTTGTTTAAGGCAACTGTCTGATGCGAAATCCCAAGCATTAATGAGTTATTGACACCGTATCGGAACAATTCGTAACATTATCTATGCGTAGACACATGTCATGAAAATTATACGTTATGAATTTATCATGTGTTTTAGTTATTACCGGCGAGGATGTTTCATTCCGATGAGTTGACTGTTACGCTTTTCAAGTTAAAGTCCAATCGGTTGAAAAGAAATTTGATAAATTACTTTTTGTTAGAAAGTTATCCAAGAAATAGTTATTTGTACTTTTCTTTTTTGATAATATTTATAAAATACTGTTTTTGAGAATAATGTAAACAAGCAATGACCACAATGAGAAATAATACTTTTTTATTATAATTTTACCTAGATTTTTTAAAATATTTTAACATATCTAACAAAAATTATAGAAAATCTCATTATGAAGTTTATTTAAATTTAATAAATATTATTAAAATTATTTTCAATATACTTTAAGTTACGCACGTCAATATTAATGCAACAGTAGATTTACTTAGAGATTTTCGTGTTAAAGTACTTTACACTTGCGTTTCAATATGTATATAGGAGAAAGCGACGGTAATTATTGTTATTGTAATATGAAATATATTTGCTTACATTGATTGAAACATTTTCAGTGGGATACAAAATAAAAATTTCCGGTTAGTATGTGAATGTGTATGAAGCTTATGAAAAAATATTTTAAACATTTTGTTCATAAATCACTTAAACTGTTCTTACAGTGGTCGAATGGGTCTGACGTCATTTCACGGAATTGTGTCATCCCGGTTCTTTACTCAGCTCTTGGTAATTGATTTTATTTACCTTAGTCACCATGTATAATTACCTCCTACATGAAAACTAATCTTACATAATCTTGTAACTAATTATGTTTACTTAATAGATTTAAAACTATTTTCACAATGCCATGCCGTGATAAAATAAATTAGTTATTTTAGTCATAACTAATATAGACTTTTGCCA